CTATATAATATTACTATTTGTATTTTAGGTAAAAATAATATTACACAAAATATTTACTGTATTTCATAATCCTTCATAATAAATAACGTTTGATAGCCCAGTCCCTTTGTACTCCCTCATTGTGAAGCTATTCTCAACTTTATTTGAACAAGAAATATTACGGACAGACTAAAAATATAACTGGATTATGACCTCTGCTATTTTCGGCCTGTGATTATGAAAAAATATACTAAACTCACAACTCGTAAAAAATAGGTTCAAACCACTTTCTAAATCTTATACTCTTATACTATTATATAAAGCGGAAGAGTTGTTTTTTTTTTTGTTTTTTTGAACGCGCTAATCTTCGTAATTACAAGTCTGATTTCAATAATTCTTTTTGTGTTGGATAGCGCATTTATCGAGGATGGCTATAGGCTATAAAATATCACGCTACGATTAATAAAGCGCCGAGCAGAGCTAGCGAAACCGCGCGGAAGTAGCTAGTATTATATATGTCACAATGTTCTTGTCGATCATTTGCAATTAGGTATGTGAGTTAGAAATTGATAATTATTATATCGACATGTAAAAATAAGAAGCTTGTACACTTCTTTTTTTAGTGTTTTATCAGTCCACACTAATATTACAAGTGTGAAAGTTTCTTTGTTTGTATATTTGTCCGTCAATCTCGCTGAAACTACTGAACGGATTTTGATGAAATTTGGTATACAGGCAGAGTATGGACTGACGTAGGCGATAGGATATTTATTTATCCCGATTAAATGCTTTAATGAAACAGGAATCATATTCTACGCGGATGAGGTCGCGGGCAACAGCTAATGTACAATGGATTGATCTATTTATAAGTTCAAAACTTTCAACCTATTTCCTCTTTACATTATGTAGAGAGAAACCCCAAAAATGTCTTACAAGATCAGTTTTTTATATACATATCTAATATTGTATAGGCCAGAGATAGATTCAGATTTATTCAGCCGCCATATGGTTGGACTAGCTACCCGCGAATTCGTTCAGATGTAGTTTGTAATCTGCATTCCATTTAGTCTCGTAACTTTTAAAAAGTGGTTCTTATATTATGTAAAAAATCCCATTGTTACTTCTATCTGTCATTATTTTCCCTCCTTTTTTGTCACGCCGAGGCTATTAGTTCAAACCATGATTGGTGTTAAGTACAGAAAGCAGTGAATGAAAATCTGAGTAGAAACTACGAATACAGTAGATCAAAACATATTTGTAGCAATTATAGGCATTGTAGCTTCAGCTTTTGGATGTAATTCTAGACCCGTAACAGACACCTTTTACAACTTTTCGATAGTTCCTGTCTGGGTAGGTGCGTACATACATTCAGATATTTTTGTCTGGTAGTATTTCATTAAAAAAATACTTACATAAACCATAAATTCTCTCAAAGTTACATTAATTTATTTTTTAAGATTTTTAGAACTATAAGTAAGAGTACTCAAAAAACATCATCAATTAAACTTTAGAGGGTAGAAAAAGAAAAGCAAAGGCGAGTTACCCGTGATTTATTGTGCTACGAATTGGATGGGGTGGACTACGGGTTAAAATAGCAGGTACCGAGCTTGGCGCTTGCCAACTAGCCATAGCGGAACCCATAAATATGCTGAAAAAGGGGCCTTAATGACAAGATTTTGTTTCTCTCTCTTGCCAATATATTTTTACATACCGTTATTATACGTTAAATGAAGCGTTATCAAATATATATATTAAAGTATATCTTACTTTTTACCAATACTATAAATTCGATAGTTGTGAGGATGTATGTGCATGTGTGTGTGTTTTTTTACAATGGGAACATAAACTAGAAATAGCCACGTACTTACTTCATACCATTCCATTTAAACCTTTCGGTACAAAACGAAAACATAGGTAAAGTCAAATAAAAACTAAAAAATACTACCTAAACCACAGATATCCACAAACAGACGTATCTACATACAGCCACATCTTCGCTGTAGCTGTTTGGCCATCAATTAGCTGATGAACTGGCCAGTTGATTGATTGCTCGCTTCATCAGCCAGGAGGTCTAAATGAAAATTGACGTAACACGTACTTATTTAGCTGAAAATGCTAGTAAGTAAACATCATTTAGGTATTTTAGGCGGATTTTTAAGACTTACCTACATAGTGGAGTCATTAGTATTTGAAGCATGAGGTCTTTTTCTGGGATTTTTTTAAGGTGGGAAAATCATCGAATGACTGCTCCCGCCTGGGTGAGGGAGTGTCAGACTCTTACTGACTAAAAACCATCCCGTTCCTTCTCCTGCACGTCGAGCCGGAGCCCCGGTTACCCGTTAGGTTCTCCGCGACTCCGAATCGGCCTTTTTCTGGGATACAAACTACTTCTAGATGGTTAATTTGATTAGGTTTCAAGCTCCTTTGCTGTGTATCTATTAAGTTTAATTTTATTAATCAACTTAGAAGTTTTTCATCCGCGACTTTGACCACGTTGAAAATAGACTTCTCTCGAGTAAGTCGAGGTCCCCATACTGTATGAATACTGTTATAAAAAAGTAAAAATTTCACAAATCCGTCCCGTAGTTCCGTTGTTTCGAAGTTTATTCAATGCAAACAATAAAATATTTCCTCTTTACAATAAAGTCTATAATCACGTAAAATCTATTCGAACGAGCATTTATCTAACATACCTACATTTCATTTCCAGTTTCAACCAAATACAAAATCAAAACAGTACAGTTGAGTGAACTCGGCCCCAATATCAGTCATCTTTTAATATTCACTCGGTTTCGTCATAATATCGTAACATCAAACACACACGTACCCGACGAACCAATCGATCGTGTGTAATAAGAATATAAAACGAAAAGGACCTATTATGAAGTACTTTGAAGTTATTTCGTTGGGTAATATTTCGATGAACATGTTTACGAGATGGTACCAAAAGATTTTCCATTTAATAAATAAGATGAATGTTGATATGAAGGTATTTTTTGCTTGATTAAAATTCTGATCTTTATAGAAAATCATGTCTACGTATTTATTTTTGTTATTGACACAACTAGATCATAGCACAGCAATACGTTCTTCTACGATTATCAGACATTTTTTATTTCATTGAACAGTGCCGAAAAGCCGTGAAGCGCGCGCGAACCTCGTACAGTGTCAGCCCTGCCTGGCGCACTGAGAAACGGGTCGAGATTTTGTTAAAGTGTGCGTGCGTCGACGCATAGATACTATGGCGCACACATATAAGCCGCGCGCGGAGCATTTGTATGAAGATAACCTACTTTGTTCTTTATACTATGACTAGATCAATACGAAAAAAATAATTTTGATATTTCGATATCATGAATTTCTGTGAGGTAACTTTTTATGGGATAAGCCGGTAAACGAGCAAACGGATCACCTGATGGTAAGCAATCGGCGCCGCCTATAGACCGCCCATGCACACTTAAAACACCAGATGCGTTACAAGTGCGTTACTGGCTTTTAGGGAATTAGGAATATGAGGATTCTGGGGGATTCGGGGATTGGGGAGACTGGGGAGGGGTGTAATCGGGCCTTCGGTAACCTCACTCACAGGACGAAATACAACGCAAGTGTTGTTTCACGTCGGTTTTCTGCTCGGCCGTGGTATTACTCCGATCCAGCCGGCCATTCGTACCGAAGCATGGCTCTCCCACACTTTAATTACCGTCTGTTATACCTACTGATATAACAATAGAGAGTATTGTAATTCGAAGTCTCGAGACTATAACAGTAATCATAGATGCTTTAATCCAACATATAACAATAATATCCCATACATTTTACTACCAATTTCGACGATAATTTTGTTGCATTCATAACTGACAGAACAAGCGTAATATTTTAATTGGAATGTCCATCGGTACAGGACGAAATTGCATTCATGCGAATACAGGCCGATTCTCTATAGACCAAATAAAATATTAATTTTACCAAAATAAACAAATAAAGGAATACACATTGATTTAAAAAAAAAACATAACTAGAAAATAACTGACTGACAGAAAATAAGTGACTGCCTCGATGGCCGAGTGGTCGCAATTGCGACTACCGGGCAAGGGGTCTCGAGTTCGATTCCCGGATCGGGCAAAGTATTACTGGGTTTAAAAAAAAACTCAGTAGTAGCACGGAGTCTGGAAATGTGCCCGATATATGGCAATAGGCTCACCCCCTATTACATGGGACTCATAACATAAATAGTGAAAAGTGGTGTTACTTCTGTGTGCATCTCAGCCTACCCCTTCGAAGATAAAAGGCGTGATGTTATGTTATGTAACTAGAAAATAAATTTACACTTCACTTCAATTACCTCAAGGCTTAAATTCTTAAGTGTTTTTCCTATGAACTTTACCTATACATAACAACGTACTGAGTCTAACTACAGAACCTATATCAACTACGTTTCATTACATGTCTCTGAAAGTCCGTAAACCTGTCGATCTTTGATGTAACCCTTTCACGCTCGTGTCGGATTGCCGTTCTATAGGATTATTGTCAGAGCTAGAGTTACGGAGTACCTGTACTATTTGCATAGCTACATACATAGTAATAATATGTCTTATACAGTCGATTAGTCTAATTGAAATTGACCGTGATGTGATTGCAAATCAATCAGTAGATCTAGATAGATATAATGTATAGTGAGTACAAAGTAGGTTGCATTCATCAATTTTGGAATGGTTATTTAGGTTAGATAACACATATAATAGCTAATGTCGTTTTTGTCTGGTGTAGGGCAAATAGGTACGTCTTGTATAATTTTCGTCTGTTGCGTATACTGGCGAAAAATTGAAAGAATATTCACAGATTGTGTATTGTTTGGCCAATTATCCATGCGTTTGTCGTTATAGTATATTTTATAGATATGAACTAATCTATTATTTTATTATCGCCATGAGAATTGGAATTTTTGCCAATGTCTGTTTCCAGAAGACATAACATGGGTTATCACAAAATTCTGTTAGTTAAAATTCTATTTTCTCTCACAGAAATCGACATCCACAAGTCGGAAGACTGCAGGTCAGAGTGGGTGGAAGTAAGGGACGGGTACATGCCAGACGCTCCAGTACTGGGCAGGGTCTGTGGTTCAGGCAAAGGACCTATGATGAGGTCCACCGGCTCAAGACTGACTGTTGTGTACCAACCTGGACCGAGACCGAAACCTCATAGAGGTTTCAGGGCGTTCTATGAAGGTAAGTGAAATGTATTAAGTAACGGTAAAGATATAATCATAGGTTAGAGACAACAAAGAAAAAAATTGAATTTTATTCTCCATCGGTAATACTCTTTATGCTTCTATATACACTTTACCAAATAAATATAAAATATCAGTTAGGTTCGATGCATTAAGTCCACTCATTCACTGAAGTATATTTATATGTTAACGACTTTCGTGGGACATACTAAATTAATTATTATGTTTTTCGGTTTACTCACGTAATTATTTGACGAGGAACTCGACTAGTTTCAAGTCATGCTAGACGCTCATATTCATGAGCAGTATTCCGCGACACAATGGTTCCTCGAGTAACCAGAAGCGCGACAGCCGCCGCGAGTACCTAAATAGTCCCTAGTCGAGTTCCTCATGAAATAATTACGTGAGCAAGCCGAAAAACACAATAGCTAATTCACTAAAGTATAAATAAATAACATCATCAGAGCAGACATTATCAGATAAAATCATTAATTAATAATAACACATTACCAACTTACCTCTCTAATATAGCGAAAAGTTGGTACACTTGTGATGAACTAAAATCGTTAAGAAAACCAAATGCGAAGATTTTAAAGAGGCATCATTTTGAATCTCTCCAACTTTTGAATATTATGACAGTACTTATAAAATAAGCCCAGACACCTCACTTATCTTTAGGCTAAACTTTTCGACTGATGAGTCTGATTAATTTAAATCTTAATGGCGGGCATGCCCTTTTCAATCCATATTAAAATTTTCTAAAATTCCATCCAAAGGTTGTCTGGAAGAAATCGCCGCGTGTGATAAGACCGCCCATTGTACTCAAATTACTATTGCAATGTTTACAATTTTTTTCTGTGTGTGCAATAAAGTATAAATAAATAAAATAAATAAATAAAAAGGTATTATTGATTAACCATCAACTAAAACTATAGCAAAATAATGCACACAAACTATTTAAAATAACAAGATGCGTCGCAAATAAGGCTAATTTAGTAAGGTTACCGGAGGCCCAATTACTCTCTCCTTCCCCAATCTCCCAAATTCATGAATCCCAACGATCCTCAAACTCCTTATCCCCAAAAGGCCGGTAACGCACTTGTAACACCTCTGGTGTTCCAGGTGTCCATGGGCGACGCCGATTGCTTACAATCAGGTGATCCGTCTGCTCGTATCGGTATACCGGCCGGTATATAAGCCGGTGCTTATGCCATAAAAAAAATCACCCAAAAAGTAGGTGAAGTCGGTATTGGTAGTTATATGTTCTACCTACGGTGCTCCAGTTATTAGACTAATACAAAAATCTTCTGTTTAGTTTTCTGAACCTTTGTACCTAGTTAACATTAAATACGTCTATCTGCAGCTGTATGTGGAGGAGATATAGAAGTGGACAGCACAGGTCATCTGGAGTCACCGAACTATCCTGATGACTACCAACCCAACAAGCTCTGCATTTGGAGACTTTCTGTACCACAGGTAAGTAGGTACCTTGGTGAGTCCCATGTTGGGCGCCACATGTATTTTTAGTTATAACACGTAATTAAAATACCTAGATATGCTTTATACTTGTCTTGATAATATCTCAGTTATAATCATAATATTTTCTTCTAGGATTACCAAGTAGCTCTTCGCTTCCACTCCTTCGAAGTTGAGAACCACGATACATGTTCGTACGACAAAGTCAAAGTTAGGGATGGTGACTCCATGGATAGTCCGCTCATCGGTATGTTCTGCGGACATAAAATACCTCCCGATATCAGGTATGTTCATATTAAATTTTAGATTGTTTAATATTTTTTCAAATTCGAATGTCTCAACGATAAGCAAGTTGATTTCTGAAATAAATAGGTACTCTGAAATTAATAAGAAATAAACACTTAAAACAAAGTTGACTGCACGGTCAGTGCTGTCGCTGGGCAACCGACTGCCGTTTCATTTGGGTTCGATTCCCGCACGGAACAACACTTTGTGTGATCCACAAATTGTTGTTTCGTGTCTGGGTGTCATTGTGTATGTGAATTTGTATGTTTGTAAACGCACCCACGATACAGGAGGATTAGGATTTTCTTTTAACAAAAGCAACGTTTAAAAAAATAAAAAAGAACCTTAAAACAAAGCCATTTTTATTTTAGCATATATAAAAAATTTAACTGTTTATAAAACTGTACGTATTCTGAAATTAAAACTAAACATTGATGTTATTCCATTATAGATCTACATCGAACAAACTGTTGGTTATCTTCGAATCGGACAGTACAGTCCAGAAGGCTGGCTTCTCCGCGACTTTTATGAAAGAGTTCGATGAGTGCGCTTCTATAGAACATGGATGCAGTCACTCTTGTGTCAACACCCTCGGAGGGTATGAATGTGCATGTGATATTGGATACGAGCTACATTCGGATGGGAAGAAGTGTGAAAGTAAGTAGACTATTTTATATTTAGAGAAAAACATGTATATTGTCTGTAAAAAAGTGAATCATTGTTCAATCATGTTATGAGTCCCATGTAATAGGGGGTGAGCCTATTGCCATATACCGGGCCTATTTCCAGACTCCGTGCTACTACTGAGGCTTTTACAAACCTAGTAATACTTTGCCCGACCCGGGAATCTAACCCGAGACAACTTGCCCGGCAGTCACACTTGCGACTACTCGGCCAATGAGGCAGTCAGGCAGTCACTTATAAAAATATGTCTATGTTCCTAAATCCTCTTAACCCATTTATAGATGCTTGTGGAGGATCTCTATACTCACCAAACGGAACAATAACGTCACCATCGTTCCCTGACCTGTACCCACCTTCAAAGAACTGCCTATGGGAGATTGTAGCCCCGCCACAACACAGGATCACGTTGAACTTCACACATTTCGATTTGGAAGGCAACAACATGTACCAACAGGTAATTTTTAGCTTATAAAAAAAGACCTTTAACTCCATTTGGTTTTAAATTGAAAATACGACTGGATGCTAGAAGTTATGACCCTAACATCTGTGTATGCATTAAGACTGCTAGTCCATAAGCCAGTTAGACCTCAAAAAGCGACACGTTTCGTTTACTTTTTAAAATAGACCTAATAGTCATTACTTTAAGTTTTATTTTGTGGTCGCTTATTCCATTTTGTCCCATTCAAACGTTTAGTTCTCATCAATCAATATTTAATTTTAATCATCATCCATTTCGTATTCATTTTTTCAAAATTCTATTTTGTAAGTCTCTCCTGGTCCTAAGCCAAAAGTATTACTCATAGTCACAAGAAAAGTTTATGTATTTCCAGGAATGTGAGTACGACAGTGTGACGGTGCACTCCAAGTTGGGAGCTGATGTGTTGAGGCGTCATGGAGTCTTCTGCGGATCTGCTCTGCCACCGCCTGTGACATCTGACGGATCTGTGTTGAGAGTTCAGGTGGGTATCTCCTACTTAATTTACCTGTAGGCATTACAAAGAATTCAGGAAGTATTTGGTACTTGTCAACTTTACCAAAATACTTCAGGTTCTATTTCAACAAACGACCAGACCAAGTCTGTCAGAAACATAAACCTTATAATAAGTATTATTCAAATAAACGGTTTTGTTCTCAATGGTTACTCGTCAACGAGGGCGACAGACATTCCTTCAGGAGTCCCACAAGGATCCTTGTTAGGGCCACTACTTTTTAACATATTTATAAATGACGTCACAACATGTTTTCAGTCATCTAAAATTTTACTATACGCAGACGACATGAAAATACTACATAAAATATGCTCTCCTGACGACACTGTTAACTTGCAGGATGATCTCGATCGGTTTCAGGCGTACTGCACTAGAAACAAGTTGGATCTGAACGTATCCAAATGCTACGTCTGTACTTTTACACGTAAGCCTAACCCAGTAACAAGTCAATACACTCTGTCTGGTGCCACGATAGCTAGAGTTAGTTCCGTCGGGGACCTAGGAATAACATTCGACTCCAAATTGTTATTCGATGCACACATTTCTAACGCAATTGATAAGGCAAATAAAGCGTTGGGGTTTGTTTTAAGGGTGTCTAAAGATTTTAAGAACATCAAAACAATAAAAATATTATATTGTTCTTACGTTCGCAGTCACCTTGAATACGCTTCCCAAGTATGGAACCCCAACTATGATACCTACATAAATCGTATAGAAAACGTCCAGAAGAAGTTCCTAAGGTATATTCAACATCATACTGGTACATATTTGCCTGATTATTTCAGCCGCTGCCGAAGGTTTCACTTGCTTCCACTGCAGGAGCGAAGGAAAATAGCGGACATTTCCTTTCTACATAAAGTATTGAGTGGATTGGCGGACGTATCCGTGCTAGTGAACAAAGTTGGCCTGCGCGTACCTTCTGCATTGTTGAGAAGGCATAATCTTCTCCATACTCCTGCCACTCTGAGCATTTATCGGCAGAATTCATTTATGGTCAGGGCTTGTCACACGCTTAATGCAGTTTGTAGGGAGATTGACATAGATCTCTTTAACATCAGTGGGACGAAATTAAAGAGGGTGATGTGTAACCACTTTTTCACACATCGTAACTAGTCGGTTGGATCGGTTCTGGTTTGCCTGTGCTTCCTTGGTTAACAGCATATAAAAAAAAAACTTTTCGTTAATGCTTCTTTTGTTTGTTGTTTTTTTTTTATCTTGGTTCATATTGTCATCGATGTAGTTGTTACTGCTTTTCATTATTTTTTTTCTTTCCTTATTGCTTGCTGACATATTGGGTTGAAAAAATGTGAGTGGCTGAAGGTTGTAATTTACTAAGTAGGTACTGTCGGCAGGCCACGATATTTTTTTTTTTTTTTTATAAATACTTAGCAAATATATGCGAAAACTTGTAATTGGCCATACTTTAATCATAGTTATATATAATTGTCAATTCTAGCTGTAAGTTTTCTAAATGTAAAAATAAAATAAAATAAAATAAAATAAAATAAACTTCAGCAAAACCATAAAGTAGACAATAATAGAGCGCTATTATAAGGCAAAGACAGTTATTCTACAAAAAATTAAACCATAACATTTGAACTATCCAGTTCACATCGGACGGCTCAGTGCACCGGTCAGGATTTGCAGCAGCTTACTACATCGACGTGGATGAATGCGCGGAGAACAACGGAGGATGTCAACATGAATGTCGCAATACCCTCGGCGGGTATGAGTGTGCCTGCTACAGTGGCTTTACATTACACGCCAACGCACACGACTGTAAGGAAGGAGGCTGCAAACATGACGTCACGCAGCCACATGGCACCATTTTCAGGTAAATTGGTCTTTTATGATTTTTGTATTTAACATGAAGAACAAGATTTCTGTACAATGGCATCTTATGTATTCAAACAATATTTACCTTTATTCCTCAGTCCAAACTACCCTGCGACGTACCCGCCTCGGAAAGACTGCGTGTGGCAATTCTCCACAACACCGGGCCACAGGATCAAACTAGTCTTCCAGAAGTTTGAGTTGGAACCACATCCAGTAAGTATATATTAATAATAATATTTTTACCTAAAACAATCTATTTTCCTACCACTTCTTACCAAATTACGTCTCTTTCACTAGGAATGCGCTTACGACTACGTGACATTGTATGATGGCGCGTCAGCAGACGAGAAGACGCTTGGTCTTTTCTGTGGGAACAGGCTGCCACATCCAATCGTAGCATCGCAGAACCAGATGTATGTGGTCTTCAAATCTGATGGTTCCGTGCAAAGAAGCGGTTTCCTCGCTAATCATTCTACTGGTAAGTTGAATAAATGTCCCTGAGTATGATATCAAGAATTTCATCATAAAATCATAATTTTTAAGGAATGCCAGAAAGTGCTACGAAATCTTTACCCATTTTTAGTAGTCTACCACTTTTTCTTTCCGTATAAAAATATAAATAATTTTGTATTTCCTTCGAACAGCTTGTGGTGGCTACCTGGCAGCGACAGATGCAGTCCAACATTTGTACTCACACGCTCGTTACGGCGACAACGCGTATGAATCTCGGGCCAACTGCGACTGGAACATCGAAGCTCCTCGCAACCACTTCGTGAAGCTCACCTTCTTGACATTCGAGCTGGAACCAGAAGCCAACTGCCATTACGATTACGTGCAAGTGTTCGGAGGATTAGACGGCAGTGGAGGGAACTATGGTACCTTCTGTGGAACTAAGGTGAGGGAAATAGAAGATGGAAAGCATACACTCTCTCAGCAAATAAAAATATTCAATCAAAAAACATTTCAATAAAAGTCTCCAGCTTTATTTTCATATACCTACTTAAATTGTTGCAGATGCCACCTGAAATAGTATCAACTTCTGAAGCCCTACTTATCAGGTTCCGTACAGACGATTCTCTGGTGTTCAAAGGCTTCTCAGCATCATATCAGATGGTGAAACCCGTGTGGAGTGAAGAGGACAGCTTGGAAGGCGCTGAGTACGATGAAGAGGAAGATGAGAGGATGCCCCCTTTAGTGGTCGGCAGGAGGGGCTTGCGGGCTTCCATGCCTCGCTTCGTACGTCGTCCTACGTGACGCTGGCCGCTACCCCGACATCCGCGACATCGCCGACCGCACCGCAATAGCCGAACCTAATCAGTTTTACAGATTACCACATTACTTTTTTAATTTGGCAACACTGTTATAAAACTATGTAACGGTGTAGCCCGCGAAATATTGACGTTTAGAATTAATAGTTGCCATAATTTATAAACAATTTAAGTACAATTTTGAAACAAGCTATTTTTTGTAATGCTAGTTTTTCTTTTTTTACTAGTTTTGTAGTAGCGCAATGCGGTCATTTGCTATTAAAACAGTTGCGATAGAGCATCGATAAAGACACTATTTTGAAATGTTATTTTTTACGACTGAATAAAAATGTAAATAAATTAATATTCCTAGTCTAATTTAGGTCTATTACTTAAAATAGTGGTTACCATTGTAATACTCGTACGAGATTATGTATGAATCGCATTATCCCTATAAGTGATGTTATTTATTATCATAATTATTACATAACCTATTACCAAAGAAATGTTCGTAGCTCTCATTAGTAACAGTTTTTTACATAACGTTGTTTGCATTTTTACTATGTATTTTCAAGACGAAGTTATTGTAACTGCTAATAAATGTTAGACAAGCGCACATAGAATCATTTACATGCATTTATATAAATTAATATAAATTAGAAGATAGAATTTGAGACAATATATAATTTTAAGTCCTAGTTTAAGATGTAAAAAGTTATTTTATAATAGGTGTTCAATTCATATCAAAACGTGAATACATTGATTGTATATTGTATACTATTGAATAAGCATTTTCCTGAATATTAGTGGGTGTATGATTATTTTGGCAAGCAGAAATCAATACTCGTTACATTTTTAACTTACTCCTTACTTACATAAATGTAAGTACACGAAACCAAATATTTTACACGATTAATAATTAGATATTATTATTTTAAGATCTCCACATTTTTTTTCTAAGAAATAACACGATAACATTACTTTGATAACTTTCCAAAGATTTTTATTTTCTTTAAATAATTTGTAGGTATCGCCAGACTCTCAATAGGTAATTTTGATTTTATATTATTTTGTACTTAATTGCTAAGAAAACTGCATGTTACAATCTTTGTAACTATTTTTTTTATTTTTGTTGAGTTGAGACGATCAGGTTAACAGATAATACCGTAATTATCTAATTATGAAAGTCATAAACTATGTTATTAGTTGTCATTGTGCCAATATATGGAATACTTAGTTACTGTTAAAATGCCATAGAGTAAATTAGGATAGCGTTTTGTAACTTAATTATGAATATTTATACGTAGGAATGTTATTTTTATTAAAATGGAATGAAATGTAAGCTACTTTGTTTGATTATTTTTATACCTTGCTCCCCATGAACTCGAATATTAGGAAAAATAAACCAAATCTAGGGAACGTTTACAAAGCGAAATATGAAAGAATACACCAAACATAACATCACATGCCTTTTATATCTGAAGGGGTAGGCAAACTGAGGTGCACATTACGGCACTTAATGCCACTGTACAATGTAACACCTACTTTTCATTAGAAATAATAAATAATAATATTATATTTAGTAGGTATTCTCACTTATCCATTCTGATAAAATTACTATCTGATAGCTACCGATCTGCATGGTCAGCTGAGTTATTGATCAACTGATTATACTCTGAAAAGTGTGGCGGGTTCGAATCTTGCACACTACAAATTTCTCATTTTCCTAATTTTATGACTTATAAATTGTTGTTCCAGTTGACTTGTTTGTTGAGATAGAATTTGAATGTTAACTTTTTGCATCGAAACATATTTTTGTTTTCCTACCCATAATAAACACTAAATAAACATTTGCCATGGGAACAATATTCTTTTTCTCACTTTCCTTAGTAAAAGCCCTATTCAGCACTTGTTTATTTCATTTTGCATTCTTTTTTATTCGTGTATTTTCACATAATTACACGAAATGCGGAATAAAATTATACAAAATGATGATTTTATACCTTTCTTGCCTTTTTATTTATTTTTATAAATCGCCTATATAATCTGTATTTCACAATTATTTTGCTATAGCAACATTCACATAAACGTCAACTAATTGTTTTGTCATTTCAAAAAGAAAAAGTCAAATCTAGTAATTTATTTATTTCATCTTTAGTAGCGTCTTTTTGACCTAATTACGACAAACTAAACTGAACACGTATTATATTACTTACAAAACGTTTATTTCATTAAAATGACTGCGTTGGCGTTTAAAGTTAAAAGTAAAAATGGTCAACAAATACTTAAAGATTTGACCTCTGATAGCACCGTGGGCGAATTGAAGATGTTTTTGTCGAGTATATCGGACGTTAGCATCGAGAGAGTGAGTGTTTTGTGTGGATATCCGCCAAAGCCGCTGGATATAAGTAATGACAGTCAAAAACTTAGTGACATTGGTTTGAAAACTGGAGAGACCCTCATAGTTGAAGAGAAATCTGCTGCTGCGTCTGTCACTTCGTCTGCAGAGTCCAAACCTGTTGAGAACGGTGTTGCGTCACACGAAACTTTAGTTCCTTGTAGACCAGGCATTTTAATGAAGAAGGTGGTCCCATCAGACAATTCTTGTTTATTTACTAGTATAGGTAAGTTTTTAATATTTCTGAATGAGAAACTCATTTTCCATTACTTATCTTATTTGTTTCAGTCATTGTTTTGAATGAGACATTAATGTTAAGTTGTTATTATTAGTATTGTTGTGTAAAGAGCACATTTATTAAGGTCATACAGATTGTAATATTTTATTTAACTCGTCGAGTACCGGTTTTATAGACACAATTAAAGAACAATAGGTCGCGGTCACCGGTGACCGCTTGGTGTTTGACAGATTAATCATGTGCATCTAATTTGCGGTTGTAATGTGATATAGATGGTGTTAATATTTTTATTTAAATGAAATAATGTAGCAACAATGGACTATAAAAACTATTATTAAAATGCTTTTTTTGTAATATAATTAAAGATGTGCAACTCATTGGGAATTGCTCATGTCTTCTTTTATCATTAATGTCTTTACAGTACCTGGCAACTTTCAATTTAATATAAGACTGGCGGCAGTTACTTGTTTCTTAATAAATTAAAAATAGAATTTATAAAACATGATTACGACTACAAGAAATTATTTGTATAAAAGAATTCTGTCTTTAATCAATTTCTCATCATCAGCCCGTATTCGTCCACTGCTGGACATAGGCCTCTCCAATCTCCAATTAATCAATTTGAATATTTTCTAGTTAGTGTAAAACTTCAACACTAATTAAAACTTTTAAGTTATTCCTAATAAGAATACTAATTACTAGATTCTAGACAGAATTTTTACCTATAAGATACACTAGCTACTTCCGCATGGCTTCACACACTCTGCTCAGCTCCTATTGGTAGTAGCGTGACGTTTTATAGCCCATAGCATTCCTCGATAAATGCGCTATCTAACACGAAAAGAATTATTCAAATCAGACCGGTAGTTCTGAAGATTAGCGCGTTCAAACAAACAAACAAAAAAAACTCTTCTGCTTTGTAATATTAGTAAGATACATTAATGCATGCCCCTCGTAGGTAGGCACAAACCACAGAATGGTATCTAGTGTGATCCTTAAATCTTAAGTTTCCGTTACATTCTTGTTGTAAAACTGGTTGTATAACCACTTCTTGTTAATATTAAAAAAATTACAATTGAAAAATCTTCACTTAAAACACACAATAACTTAATCTTGCTGTGTTCTAATATTCTCAATTTTTTATTAAATCCTCTAGGTAGTAAGATGTGAAACTTATTCGACTGTAAAAAATAATTCAGTAATTTTAATAATTTTATTATGTTATAAACATTCAATGTTCTATAATAAATTTTATTTATGTAGATAATCTTACAAAATTTTAACACAACAGTTTCTCATTCCAGGTTTTGTATTAAATGGTAACGTAGACACTTCTGTGCACACACTAATGCGAGAGATCATTGCAATGGAAGTAGCTAGCGACGTAGACACATACAATGAGGCAGTCCTCGGTAAACCTAATGCTGACTACTGCGTGTGGATCCAACAGCCGAGCTCATGGGGTGGTGCTATAGAGGTAATATATTTGATTTATGTATAATAATAAAAATAAACTTTTTATATACTCCACTGAGTAAAGAGTGCTTGAAGACTTACACTGTATGTCTGCAATAAAGTCGAAATTGATTCTGAATTAGAGAAACGCACGTATTAATTTACTCAACTAATTTATGATTTATAAAGTAATATAAATGTAGTGTTAAAATAGTTATGTTTACAGAGCCATTAAAACAAACATTGGTACTCTAAATGAGGGATGCAAGTGGAAAATTAAAAAAAAAATTGATTTAAAAAAGGTTTTAAGCAATATAGGTATGCTGTGTAAGTTACTGCACATAAGTTTATTTATATTTTCATAAAAAAACTTAAATATTAATATTACAATCATATTTCACCATTTTATTCATCATCTAGAATGACAATCACCTGAATTGCAATATCATTGTTTATTGCCTCATTCTTTGTAGACCTTTATAATTTTGAATCATGTTAGAATATTAACATTATCTGCATCCTATAAGAATTAACAGGTATAACTTACCTGTATTCTTATAGTATAACCAATTACAATATGCATTAAAGACTTTGGGTTTTATCTGACATTATTGTATACTGTTTATTGGCAATTATTATTTTTTGATTGTGGTAATTACTACATATAGATACAGAAAACCATAAAGACTAAAAAGACTATAAATATGAGATCCTGTGTTAAATACATCTTATGAAGCATTGTTTAATTTCAATATAGAATTTTTTAAAGAAATTAATTTTATCCTCTATTCCAATAAGGTAGTTTCCTAAATTTTATTTTAATGCCCTTTTCAGAAAATTAAATACTTTCGACGATATATTAATTTAAAATATCGATAAATACAAAATGTTGTGACGTAACAATATGCTACAGTTTGTATTGTAACTTTCGTGAGACATACTTAATTTATTATTTTGTTTTCGGCTTACTCACGTAATCATGCTACAACTCCTCCAAACTCCAACAAATATCTAAATATTGTAACTTTACACAAAAAATGTCTCTAATATTTTTTCATTATCTAACTGACTATAAATAACAAAATGGAGTTGCAAGTTTCCCTGCTCTATAACATAATAAAATATGTTTTATAATGTTATTATTATTCTTTTATTACAGGTAGCAATCCTATCTCGTTTCTATGGGCTGGAGATGGCTGTAGTAGACACACTGAATGCAATTATAAACAGATTTGGAGAAGACAAGAATTATGGACAACGAGTCTTTCTACTATTCGACGGTGTGCACTATGACCCCTTGTATTTGGAACAAGTTGATGTGAGTTCCCCAAGCTTTTCTATAAGTCTCCGACAAATTAAGCAGATACTAGACTTGTTGAAATTCAGTATGGTAATTTCGGTTCGTTTTATCGGCGTCTGACCTTACTTCAGGTGGATCAGTTGTGTGGTGCAACTGAGTAATTTTTCCTCTTAACGGTATATGGTAAAATAAAATACCTAAGTTACGTCCGTACAGCTGTAAACGAATGATACTACTATTTCACTGGACACTATTAATCGGCGATACATCAAATAGTTTTGACATCGGGTCTCGTCTCTCAATAATAACTTATTATATATCGTCTTGTAAATCAATGTTTTCTAATTTTCCAGGGCGGTATTCAAACAATATTCCCAACTGAAGATATGGAGATATACAGAGAAGCGGAGCAGTTGGCACACGAGGCTAAGTCGTCCAGACAGTTCACGGACGTGAACAAATTCACTCTGAGGTGCAATGTGTGTGACAAACTCATTACTGGCTACGTCGAGGCACAGAAACACGCCAAAGAAACTACGCACACGAATTTTGGTGAAGTCTAGCAAACAATTACTTAGGTATGGTGTTTCTCTAATATTGATTGTGTCCGCTTGTTGGATAATGTTGAATATTTAAAGATATATAATTAGAAATAAAGCTTTTAACAAGATACTGTCAGAGTTTATCTATGTACTTGTCTGTTCTAAAGTTATTTGTTTTTGATTCATTAACTTTTTCAATTATCCCATCGTTTTCCGGAATAGATGTTTCATTCAGTTTTTACAATTTCAACTAGATTCCAGTTTCATTCCGGTTAATCTTCCTTGCAATGCAATAACCTCATTTTTAATTTTTTAATTATAATGAAGTGCACTTAAACTAGATGAAATATTCCTATTAAAATAATATAAATAAATAAATAGTCAAGCGGACACAATCACTTAGAATAATTTGTTTAGGATTTTTAATTTTTCCTGTTTCCCGAGGACCTTACTACTCGAGAACATAATAATAGTTGAATTCGAGATAAATATTATTTGTTTTTAATCTCAAATATTAATTGTTAACGCGAGATTTATTTATGAGATGACGATGCACATATCCTAGCAACATCTATTTTGTATGGAATTATTTGTGAGTAGTCTCGGGTGTAATAAGACAATTATTTTTACATGAACCTTGGCTCGATCGAGTCTGACGCTATAGTCGGTGTCTTTTTGTAATAATGATTATTTATTTTTATGTTGTATATTTGTTAGATGCTCAATATTATTTTCACCAAAGTAGATTTTTCATTATGCGGCCCGACAGTATGTTTTGTCAATTATTATTATTAGCGTTCGCTAGACTGGTTTTACTCATAATGCTTATTTTCGGTTAAAAACTGAATTCGTTGATTTTTCATAATCGTCGAAAATCTATCTATTTTATTTATTGTTATATCAACAAAAGTATCGCACAGGGGAAATGAAATAGGTATTAGAAACGATATTTCATGTACAAATGGAATAAATACGAACTCGAAATGCATAATGAAAATGGACAATAAACATGAATGCATTCATTGATTAGTAAAATTAGCTTCAATACAAAATGTTGAGTCAAATATTTTAAATTATATGTTTGTTGCGCCAGGAACTGTTCGGCAGTTAGTGTAAGGATTCGATATTGTGTGTGTGTAACATGTTATGTATCTAGTGTACTGCAACTTGCAACACTGCGTTGCCTCGTTTCTAAAATGCTCGAATTAGTTTTGCATTATAAGTACCTATAAAATCACACGTAACATGGCAAGTCTGTTGCAAAGGCAATTCAACGAATTTTAGCCCTTATTCCTTTTGTCCTAATGTTCAACCTTCTATAATATTGGCAAGAGATCGTTATTTTGTAATACGGAACATTGGCGGCTCAAAAACGTTGAAAGCGAATGCTATTTATTTTATGATTATTACGTTTTATTACGTTGTTCAGTCGCCAATGTGAAAGACAAGATTTGTAAATTATAAAATAAGGCTCAAAATGGCATAAATAAAAATTTGATAAATGGAATTATTTTTTATTTATCCCTTTGTGTTGTTCTAGTCTTCTCAAAAATCAACCAATTTTTGTAACCCTAGACGTACACTCCCATCAGAATTACAACGTTAAAAATAATTTGCTGACCAGTTGCTGCTTCATTCAGCTGCCTTATCCCTTAGATGGGATGGCAGTGACCTTGACTGAGGTGGGCCCCGTTTATTTAAATAAATATTCTAACACTGCAATTTCTTGGAACCTAAGTGGGGTTGGTCTGTTGACCTAAATTATATGACAAACTTTCATTTAGTTTCACCTGCCTGATGTTTATTATTTATAGACAGGATCTTGAAAATGAGAGATCCTTGATAGACACCTATTTTAACATAACATCACGCCTTTTATCCCCGAAAGCTACCCCTTCAGCACAGGTGCACATTACGGCACTTAATGCCACTGTACAATGTAACACCCACTTTTCACTATTTATGTTACGAGTCCCATGTTATAGGGGGTGAGCCTATTGTCATACTGAGAATTTTTTAAAAAGCCAGTAGTACTTAGTCCGACCCGGGAATCGAACCCGAGACCCCTTGCCCGGCAGTCGCACTTGCGACCACTCGGCCAACGAGGCAGTCTTAGACACTTATTTTTAAATTAGATATTAATAGTCGTATTGTTTATTTTATAAATAAAAAGAAGAAATAAGGGTTTTATTCGATTTATTATTAACACAAATGTACAATATCAATAAATATAGTCACATCAGCTTTCTATCTGTCGTTACACTATGATTCACTTTATACAGTGTTGTCATACAACATTAACTTATTTTTACGCTCGATAACAAAATTGTGCATGCGTTATTGGGCCGCCTTTACTTTGTTCAATTTTAAAATAAGGAATAGCCGAGGCCTTGGTACGAGTAGTAAACGAGACCACGAAAAGCTGCTCTGATTGGTTAGTTCAACGGAGCCGGCCAATCAGAGCACTGGACACGTATACGAGTACCACGTAACGTTCAAATGCGTTTAAAAGTAAAAACGGTACACGATTTTAATTTTGTAGCTTCATATTGATTAGGCTAGGAGTCTTGACAATGAGTCATTAATTTGTTAACGGATTTTCTACCGTATACAAAAGCTGTATAGTTGAAAATCGATTCGTTTATTTTTGATTTAGCAATCCTTTTTACATAACAATTCTCAAGACTTACAGCCCGAAGTATAATAGGTTTAAGTTATCCTTCATTTTAAAATTGAACATTTCGGTACAGTTTTAGGAACTAAACGGCGTACATAACTAAGCGTATACACAGCTCTTTATTATATTTTATTTATTGCTAAATAGGTGAAGATATAGAAGACGTGCCCAAGCTACAGTAATCATTTGGAATTATCAATAATTAACATTAATTTCTCGCCTTGTTCACGCAAATCTTATTTCGTCCAAGGTTTGTCAAAACATGGCGGTTTCGAAATAAAATGTTGATTGTTGGCCCCATTCGCACGAGCGTTATTTTTAACGCGCGATAAAAAGCGTTTATAGAAACATGCATGCGCTAGTAGCGCTTTTGGAACGCGACGTTTATAAGGTAGTGTTGCATTTTTAACGCTTAGATTCAGGCGTTAAAGTCTAAATTGCCTTGCATACATACCAGTACAGAATTTTAACGCGCGTTAAAAACTTATTTTGCGAATAGAACCTAAAAGAAAGTTCTAAACGTCTGAATAATATTTTATACTCTTTAATTCGTTCATCGATTAACAATCAGAACTTTCTGTTTGAAAATTTCTTGGGACAACTATCTAGTTTGTCAAGGTTGAATAAACATTGTAGGGTGGTTGTTTTTATATAATTGGGATATATAAATATTTATTTAATCTTTTAAGACAAAGGTAAATGGATATTCGAAAGCTCTAAGAGATATGGATAAGTTATAATAAGTCTTGTATATAAAACTAAAATATTTTAACAAAAAGTTGGTATATACGCGAATTCAAGACACAATTTGTTTCGTATTCCAGTCAAATCGTCCGACAATTTGTTTAACAAATAAAATATAACAATAATAAGTTCGCTTTGATTTCGACTTTACTTAAAACTAAAGGCATTCTGATATGTTACAATAATCAATAATTTAATAGAAATATAAATACAAAATCATGTGATTATTATTAAGATCGGCTCAAAAATATTTGATTTGTAGTCTAAATGCAATTTATAAGAAAAAGTTTTTATATAAAATGTAGAAGTGTTCAAAAAATCTTAAAGCAACTAAATCTGGTTTACATATGGCAGTGTATTACAAAAAAAATGCACAAATATTTGGAAAAAAGAATACTATGTTACAAAAATAACCTTAAAAGCGATTCATAAATAATAATAAAGCTTAAAATGTTACAAAATTGTTACTTGTAACATATCGAATGCAAAAAAAAACAAATCAAAAAGTTTTTGACTTTTTGTAAAGTCATTAAAATGCTAGTAGGTGCATAGACTACGGTGTTATATTTATAATATTAAAATGGCCTACATAGACAGTCAACATTTGATATAGAAAATCCGACCTTATTACTAAGTAAGTAAGGTCGTGATTTATATCAAACTTACTATTACTTTGAGTAACGCAGTGTGAAAATCCATATAAATATATTTTTACTATGTTTTAGAACATTTTTTATAGTTAATGTAAGTTTTTATCGAAGAGAGCTTTAGTTTTCAACATTATACATTATTTTAATAATCTCAAATATATAAAAGTGTTAAATAATATAATTAAGTAGTTTTAAAGGCTGTGCAGCCGATTAGGAACATTTTGGCAAATATTAATATCTGACTCAATTCTTTTAGAAGTATAATTCTCATTAGTTCCAAACCTCATAGGTTAAAATATAGTTTATCCAATAGTTCTGACTTAGCACTATGTTCTGACTTTTAGCACCAAACCATTTATTCCTAGAAAGTATAGGCAGAGGTGTACTTAGAGTCCACCAACTTTTTACCCATTTTCATATTTATTGGTAAATGACTAAAATTATTATAATAAAATCTCACCATAATATCTCATGGTTACTGAAAGTTATTCCTAAAATATATTTATATGGATTTTCATACCACTTAGAACTATTATAAAAGCAATGAATTCATCATTTGTATGGGCGTAAATCTTATTGAAGTTTTTCAAGTAAGCAGTATTTTTATAAATAAGTAAGTAGGTAGGTATATAAAAATCGTGACGTGTTTCAGGGCGGTTTACAAGATATTTTAGGCATTGTACTGAAGAGATTATACACTAAGTGTTAAAAAACTTATTCCTATCACACTTTTGCTTAGATTATTATAACTATTTAATGCAACAAAAATATTGAAGATTTTGCCAACATTTTCGTGAGACATACTAAATTAATTATTATGTTTTCGGATTACGCACTTAACTGTTAGACCAAGAACTCGACTAGTTTCGAGCCATACTAGAGGCTCATATTCATGAGTAGCATTCCGCGACGAGCTGCATCGACTCCAGCGCCGCCTGCCGGGATTCCCGCGCACTGTGCTCTATCCGTGCGTCGGCGGTCGCGACATGCACGCTACACTCGCTCGCGACTGCGTAGTGTTGGGTACGAATCCCGGGTCGACGTAAAAATGGCTTACACACCACGCTCACTGTGTCACACTTCTACTAGTCGAGTTCTCCGTCAAACAGTTACGTGAGTAAGCCGAAAACATAATAATTAACTTTTCTAACACTTGGCGGTTTGAAGACACATACTATTTATATTTTATAATACCACGCCTTTTAATCGTTGAAGGCAGAGGCCGACTAAACCTAGACAGCGTCCTAGGTAAGCACCTCATATGTCGGAATACTGAAACGTTACTCAATTTTAAGTAGTGCTTAAGTATAGTTCTATCTCTACATATTCTTTGTAAAATGACAGAGATGGCACGATATTTGAGCACGACTTAAAATTGAGTAACGTTTCAGTATTCCGGCAATAGACGCCCATATTTTTAGCGTCGCCGTCATTCTATGGGCAGCTGGGCACGCGCATTCCGCGACGCCCAACTGCCAATGCTGTACCGCCTCGATACAACCTGGCGCCCTGGCACTGGCCTAGTTTGGGTTAGGGATAATTCGGCTCTGTCTGAAGGGATAAGCAGAGGTGTGTCAATACAATATTGTACTATATTTTTATTGTATTGTAAACAAAGCTAGATGTTTATAAATACTTTAGATTGTAATAAATCTCTTGAGTAACGTGTGGTATAAAATGTATAATGTTACTTGTTTAATAATCCTTAATCTCACTTTGTAATGTCTTACATCCGTATAGTATGCTACATACATTTTTATACACAATGCGTTTTTGGACAAAACTACCAGTAGTTATATCATTCGCCAAGAAAAGTAATTACAATAAAAAAATATAACTATCTCGCTTTCACATTGATTTGATTATACCGTGAAAGAAACAAGATGTTATCTTGTTTCAAGCCGTCAGTTTTAATAACTTATCCCTCAGTAGATTGGGCTATCAAAGATAAAGTTCCATACAAAATATGTCGAAATCCCTTTGTAATTTGAGCTACCGAAAGACAGATTATTGATACTGACCATAATATTATTTTAAACGTGAATATAATCAACTTCTGATAATATTTATCCAAAACAACGCGATAGTGTGTTAACTTTCTGAATATAAATATCTACGTTCGTCGATCCTTACTATACCACTACTGCGGCGCGGGCGCAGGTTTAGGTGCCGACCAGCGAGGCAAGGAGATACCAAACTTGGTCTCGAGCCCCGTTAGTACTGGCAGCGCCACCTGGTAGCCGCCGATGTGATGTGGTTTCTTCACAGACTCCTCGATAGGTGTCGCCACGTGTAACTCTGAACCGGCTGGGCGTCTGTCAAAGAAAATGAGAGTTAAGTATACTACGTTAAAGTATAATTTACTTTGTTTGACAAGCTTTGAAATTATTTCGCTGTTTTAGAGCTACGGTTAAGCATCAATTAATACATGCACCAAGAATCCGTATTAGTTTTAATTTGTTCCGCATATTTTAACAAGAACCAATATTAAATCGCTATCCGTTATCATTTTAGACGTTAAAACAGTTTATGTAGGTACTTTTTCGGCGTGTTGAAAGCTGTAAGAGCATGAGAGTTAAACCTTCACTTTACAGCAAAGATGCGACTTTAATAACTTAAGAACTTAACGGGTTACCGGGCTCCGGCTCGTGCAGAAGAAGGAACGGGGTGATTTTTAGTCAGTAAGAGTCTGACACTACCTCCCGCCTCACCCAGGCGGGATCAGTCATTCGATGATTTTCCCCACTTAAAAAAAATATATAGAAAATAGTACTTACGATCCTCCAAAATCGACGAAGAACAAGCGCTGTAGTATTTCGTAAGTGACGAGCGTGACTCCGAACTGCGGCGAGGAGCGGAACACCCTGGCGACGGCTCCCTTCCAGAATGCGCGCGCGCCCTCCTCCGCGTATATCTTGCGCGCCGCGTCTATGACGCCGTTGTACGTTGTTTGTCCCGATCGAGCAACCACCTGGAAGAAAAATATTGGATTTTAAGACATTGTTTATTTTAATTACGACTGCACGGTTGGCGCGGTGGCTGGGCAACTGGCTGGCGCGCAACGTGCCGCGGGTTCGATTCCCGCACGGAACAACTCTTTGTGTGATCCACAAATTCTTGTTTCGGGTCTGGGTGTTATGTGTATGTGAAATTGTATGTTTGTAAACGCACCCACGACACAGGAGAAAATCCTAGTGGGGCAACGTTTAAAAAAAAAAAAGGTAATTGGTACCAGATTTAGAACCGACGGTGTTTTTCTTTGTTTATTATGGATTTAATAACAAAACAGTTCCAATTTCAAAAATGTTGTCATTGGTCACGAAAATTCGAGACGATATCACGATATATTTAACAAGTGATTGTATTTATTTACGTTGCCGTAGGACTTTCTCCTGTGTCACGGGTGTGTTTACAAACAAACAAGTTCACATTCACATGATACCCAGACCCGGAACAACCTGTGAGATCATACAGATAGATGTTCCGTGCGGGAATTGAACCCGCGACACCTTGCGCGGCAGCCAGTTGTCTTCGCCCCGACCGTGCAGTCACCACCGTTAACGTTAATGTTAACCCAGTTATTGCTTATCGAAATATTTCAAAGTTAAACTTTAGCTTTTGAATTGAAATCAGTTTTGCTACACAAATAAAGATTTATTTAAATAAATAGCGTTTACATATCTACCTGCAAACGAGTCTTGATGACGTCAGCCGGCGTGACGAGCGAGGCGGCCGGGATGCCCGCGATGGCACCGGCCGCTAGCAACGTCAGGGGGTGGTTGTAACCGTTCTCGTCCGCGAATTTAGCCTGGAAATTAAAATATTAAGTAAGACTAATAGGCCACATATACTGTAATGACCTAAATGAATAAACGATTCGAACGTAGTCTTTTATTTTCTGTTTATTATTTTATTTTATTAAAGCATATCAACAATAAAACACAAACATTGTAAACAATAAGGATACAGACTAGTCAACCGACTTCAAGTTTACATTATATTTTATCGATTCATCTTTGTGTCAGAAATTCGGAAGAACTAATATACATATAACAACATCAATCTAAAGATTTTGGTTTGTGATCTGTTAATAATTTAGTCTTTTAACTGTAAGTAAATTAATGCTTTACAGTCAGATTGCTTTACGCTTATTTAATGCTATTTACCGAGCAGTTACTTCAATTTAGCACAAGTTATTTATTCAAATACTATTTTAACAACAATGCAAATAAACTAAGACTTACCTTAACATGAGCATAAGCAGGGAAGTAGATAGCGCTGAAAGGCACGTCTCTGAGTAGACAGGCCTTCGCCCCCTTGTAGAGGCCGAACAGGCCGAGGTCCTTCACAACAGACCATGCCCTTACTTTGGTCCCTCCCGCGATCTCTCCAGCTACTTGTAGACGAATCTTCACAATCTCTAGAGGATTTGTGAACACTACTTGTGAACCACCGGCCTGTGGGAAAGAAACAAAATTAAAATACAAGAGAAATGTACTCTTTATATACTAGCGTGCCCGCGACTTCGTACGACCAATCCCGTCCTCTTCCGTTCCCGTAGGATTTTTTATATCTTAACCCGTCGAGCGTTCCTTATGCATGCAAGAAAATGCATTTATTTGGTCATTGGCACACGAAAACAAAGATCATTATCATTACAATAGAAATAAAACAAATACAGTCAAAATAAAAACAAAACATTAATAATAGATTTTATAAAAGAGAGCAGCATGGAGCAATTTTTCTTATGATCCACCTGGTGCTCATATCGACACTCGAGGGGTTAAGAACCTTCTCCTACTAATAACAAATACAAAATCAGCCAAATCGGTCCAACCATCCATGCGTGATGCCGTGACCAAGGGAAAAAGAGATTCATTTTTATATATACAGATTTTAATACATGAGATAATCTTATTTCAACGTTAGCTTTGTTTGCAAACAGTCAAACATAGTGAAGTGTGATTTCCCCCCTCTATATGTCAAACGTGATCAATCTAATTATAATATAGAACATGTAAATTAAGGACTCTATTGAATTCGACGTAAAGATATTTTTTTACTTTTTTTTTAATTTTCTACTCACACAACCACCGGCCAGGATCTCTGCGTATAACGAAATATTTCCCTTCTTGTCTGTGAATTTGTCGCGAACGAAGTCGTTGACCTGTAGACAAACAAATAAAATATATCATTACGAAGCGATGGAGATTCCACGGGGTGAGCCTATTATACGCGACACTATTTTAGAATTGAAAAAACAAAGTTGCCTCACACTATGATTTTCTCCTGTGTCGTGGGTGCGTTTACAAACGTACAAGTTAACATAACACACACATGATTCCTTTAAGTATTAAATATTTTTGGAAACTTTAAAACCTTAAAAACTTAAAAACCTAAAAATAATCTCGGTTTCGATTCCCGGTTTGGCAAAGTACTACTGGTTTTTTTTTTAGTCTCAGTAGTAGCACTGAGTCTGGATATGTGCCCGGTGTATGGCAATAGGCTCACCTCCTATTATATGGGACTCAAAACATAAATAGTGAAAGTGGGTGTTACATTGTACAGTGCCGTAATGTGCACCTCTGCCTTCGGGAATAAAAGACGAGATCTTATACCTATTACTTTTAAAAAATACAATTATATTTACCGTCAATTTAATAGCTTTCTCGGGTGCTACTCCGATAAGCTGTGGTACTAATCCTCTGTATAAACCGAAGACGCCTTCATGTCGGATGACCTTTTTGAAGCAGTCCCAGGAGTTTCTATACGCGACCTCACCGATGAAGGAGCCTGTGCGTTGGTTCTGCATACGAGTTTTTACTAAATCGATGGGATATACTGCTGACGCACCGACGGCTAGAAGAAGAAAATAGCATTATTTTTTGTTTAAAATGTAGCAACTATCTCGGGCTACACACCAAGCTATACAAATTCAACATAAATTGAGCGTCGAATTTGCGGGAAGTTCATATAAAGCGGGACCATGATAAACTGGATTTTATAGTTCGATGCGTGTGATTTTTGACTCCCAATGATTTCCATTATACTAGTACGTATGCAAATGGTTGTATTTTAAATCTTTTAATTTAGTACATAAACAACAAATTCGAATACATACCACCAGCAATAGAACCGAGTGTGAATCTGTAAGTGCTCTCCAATATTTGTATCAACACGCCTCTCTCTTCCGGACTCTGTAACAAACATATAGACGTATTTACCAAGCTCCGTGTCATATATATGTAGGTATTACTATATTATAAGAAAATATAATATAAGAGTAGACGATGCTTTGTTTTGTACAGTACTGAGACAAGATCATTTTTGTTTTTATATTAGAAATTAAATGAACCGGCAAACATCGTTACGCCTAAAAAAATATTCTCAACTTTTAAACCTTCCCTGGACTTCCACGGACCTTTCAAGGCCAAAATTATCCAAATCGGTTCAGACGTTCTCGAGTTTTAGCGAGACAAATGAAAGGGAATTCATTTTTATTTATAAAGATAGGTAGGTAATGTGGCTTACGATACTAGTACGCTTCATAAGCGAACTAGTCTATAAATCGACCAGTTTGTCAAATATGTAAAAAAAATATGTCCATGAAAATCGGATCACAACAGTTTAAGAACTTGATGAACTAAGCCAAGATGATTCTCGGTTTAGTTCATCAAGTATTTCAAAAGAAGTAAATAGTCTTTGTGAAAATTTTTATTACTTTCATTTAATCAAATTCTTTATCTCAGTATTGTTCATAGTAATGCATGTGTCAGAGTGCTATATTATACTTAGCATAATGTCGATTGCTAAAGTGAATTGGCCTGGCATACATGTAGCATACAAATATGTATGAGGTTATGGCCGTGATAATGTTCATAAACTAATATTATATTTGAGGTTGTTCATGCTTTTATGTATGGGAGTAATTTAAATAAGTAATATAAGTATTAAAAATGTTTAATTACTCTTTGTTTGTTGGTAGGTATTTAATAATATTAAGACAGAGTATTGGATGCCATTTTAATATGTAGACAATTAAGTTAATTTTTATAATTACTTTTGCGCAAATTATAAGTTTTGCGCAAGTACGTATGATACTTTTGCGCAAACTATGAATATGTTTGGAAAAATTAGAGTTACTAGAGAGTTATACGTAAATTGAGACTGCCTCGTTGGTCGAGTGGTCGAAAATGCGACTGCCGGGCAAGGGGTCTCGGGTTTGAAATATTTTATTGTGTTGAAACAAAAACTAAATAATAGGTACGGAGTCTGGTATTGGGCCCGGTATATGGCAATTGACTTACCCCCTATTACATGGGACTCATAACATAAACAGTGTGCACACAAACCCATAAGTGGGTGTTACATTGTAGTGGTATAATGTGCATCTCTGCCTACCCCTTCGGGGATAAAAAGCGTGATGTTATGTGAGACATTTCTCAGCTTAATGATAATGTTACTAACCTTAACCTTGGTAAACCTGCACTTATTATTTTTAGTGCCCTGTAGCTAAATGTATATTTTAGATGGCGTCCAATCTTCTGTAAATTTTAAAATCAAATACCCTTGTTCAAAGTCACTGCAAGCCACAACTCTGACATAATTCCGCAATTTTCCTTTATAACTGGTTACATATTTTATAAGTTAGGATTATAAGTATAAATAGTAAAACTATAGAATTTAGTGTTTTGAAAAAAGACAGCGAATTTTTGGTATTTTGTGATGAGTAGATTATAGCACACACAGTAGTGATCTGAATTCTCACACGTAAGTGAAGTTAGCGTACAGCTACAAAACAAACATTGACATTTTTAATGCTTAAATGTAAGGCTAAGGACACACGGCGCGAACTTCTACCGCGCCCGCAGCTGTGGCGGAATATGGAGGCGAAATTTTCAAAACTCACGACCCAACCGCGGTTACGATTATCGCCCGCAAACTTGGCGGTTGATTATCGTAAGACGGGCGGACGGTTAAACAATCAGTTACGTTCCAGACCGGCTGTCCCATTGCGATCGCCCGCCAACCGATCACAGAGCGCACGGGTGCTAGCCGCCGCAGCCGCGCCCACCGATGCAGCGGGACCCGCAAACAATCGCAACCGCCGCGGGCGTAAAACGCACCGAGAAAATTGCTTTAATTTTTTACATAACACAACCAAGGCCGCCGCAGGAGAAACTCGCGCCGTTAGACCTTAGTCTATGTCTTACCAAAAATTCAAAGTCAAAAGAAATAAAAAGATAGAAACATCATAAACTCCCCCAACCTTACTTACCAGGATTCGTTCCAAACAGTAAACAAATCGACAAGGCTCTAACATAGTTACCTCCTCCTTTTTAAGCATTGAAAGAAAGAGAACAATATACCTGTAAGTTAGTGATGTTTCCAAAACAAAAACACAACTTTTATGCTATGTACTTTAAGTCTAAATTACACTAAACATACATTTGATTACGAAGGCTGCTCCTGGAAGTATATGGTTAAAAAGGGACGGCGATATTATGTTTGTATGGATGTGAAAGAGAGTGATACTCACGGAGACAGCTTTGATTTCTGCTACGCGCCGTGTGACTTGTTTGAAGTACTGCTCTGGTGTGATGGAGTTGAGATCATTGTATACGATTCGACTGAAAGAAAGAAAAATTAAGTTAATAAATAATTTGATTTCGGCAGTTGTTTAATTCTTTTTGATTAATGTTATTTGTGTTCATAGTAAATGTAACGAAAACCAGTGGAGACTAGACATAATAGTCATCATCGGCTGAATCTGGATAAGGTTCAGTAGTTGAGAAAACGGTACAAAGAGTAGTTTGTTAAAGGTTATAACTGTTATAAGCATAATAACTGTTATATATTAAGTTGACTGTATAAAATATGTAAGGAACTTTGTGCATTGGAAGTAAAAACTTTTCACTCTTTCTGGTTGAGACTTTGTTGTGCTGATCAGTCGATGTTATAGAATTAAAACCTATTTTTTATAGGTGTGTGTGTATAAAAGTTTTTGTCAGATCACTCGCATTCCTCTCAAAAATAAAGACCAACCCTCTAGAGACGGGAGGCGAACTGGTTACCCATGTGTTGTCTGAGCCCCCTTCGCTGACGCCGACAATGTAATAAGACTACAATTAGAATATTATGATTTTTATTTTTCAAAGAATGTAAGATGTAATGGGAACTTCATAAATATGGATAAGTTGTACGAAAAATTGAGATAATGATAAGATGGACGATTATGTTTCTTTTTTTCTGTTGTTCACGGTGATTTGATGGTTGATAATGACGAATGAGAATGGAATATAAGAAAATAATTAATCTGAGTTTGTTACGCCTTTTTTTATTTAATCGCATAGAACAGGATATGCTATATTCATTATATATATGTATATAACATAACGCCTTTTATACCCGAAGGGGTAGGTAGAGGTGTACATTACAGGACTTAATGCCACTATACAATGGACACATCCACTTTCCACTATTTATGTTAAAAGTCCCATGTAATAGGGCTGAGCCTATTGCCATATATTTGGGCACAATTGCAGACTAATACTTTGCCCGTCCCGGGAATCGAAGATCCCTTGTCCAACAGTCGCACTTGCGACCACTCGGTCAACGAGGCAGTCGTTCATTTATGTTATATATATAAAAATACAATGTATTTTGGTGATATATTATGGTTAAAGTGCTATTGTATAACTTTTACTGAAACGCAGTTATTTGTATTAACATTGAAATTACGATATTTATTTTGTTATGTGTACAAGCTTAATATTGTTATCGAAAATTCTGAAACCAAACACTAAAACATAGCAAAAAAAATCCTAAAAAACCTGATCACATGGATTTGAATGTTAAAAAAAACAAATGCATTTTTCTCTTGACTTATTTTTTTTTATTCTAGGTTAAAGTATCACGTGTGGGCTCCGTGCCAAGATTCTGAAGGCCATAGTTTTTTGTAAAAAAAGGTAATTAGCAGTTGAATAACGAGACAGGTTGGTGCCACATGAATTGTGGCCAGTTCTTAATATTTTAAATGTTATTTTTGACATGTAATGCATTACACGGTGTGTACTGTTTGTTATGATTCATAAAACTTAGTGGTTTGGTTGGAACAGCTGTGAATTTACAATCAAAACAAAATATGGGTATTTTTCGAGTGGTTATATTTTCATTATAAATTAATAATTAACCTAATATTTTAGACGTGAATACAATATTCGATTACAACTTTTAGTTACAGTTCATTTAGGTTGGTTAATTTGATAAAATAATAAATATACAAGGTGTAGTTTTGAAACCGTGTCATTTCTCGGGGGCATGTCACAGAAGTCATAAAGATTCAATGTAAAAGAAAGTTTTGGGCCAATAGTTAAAAATACGGCTATAATAAATCGTTTAAGTCCGACAGTATTTCAGAATAAGCGACAGCAATGTTTCTTATTGGAGTTTTATGGAATTATGAAAAATATCAATTACGTGTTTGAGTTTGTGTGTGTTAAGCCGCATTATAAAACTACATAGTTACAAAGCGGCGTGTAGTCCGCACTTACGGATTTCCGTAATTTACAGAAAAATCAAAAATATTTATCTACAATTTTTTTATTGATTCGGACTCAAAATCGATAGCCGTGTTACCTCTAAACTCTGCAAAAATGACGCGGCTTTAAAACAACACCTTGTATAGGTAATATTAAGTATACAGGCTGTGGCTGGAAATTTTAACCAAATTCAGATTTTTTGTTTATTAAAATGATTTATTAACCAACTACAAAGAAATTTCAATGAGGTAATCGTTTACATATTGTATTATAACACAAACAGTCTAAAAACGTATGCATTAAAGTTCAAAATCAAATGAATCACAATCGACTGCGCGTTACTATTGGTTTCAGTGCATTTTCCCCGTAATGAATAATTACGTAAAATACAGGTAATATTCGCATTAATAAATTGTTGCTACGGCACATAAGCGGATAAATTAATATTATTAAATTAATTTAAATAGGTGATTATTTAATTCCAATATGTGGTTACGCAAACGAATTCCTTTTATTACGATGTCATGTTTGTTCTTGTGACGTCATATGTATAAATTATTAATTTGAACTTTATTGTCTGAATGCTAACCGACATTACCGCATGACAGGTATTTTAATTTCGGTAACTTCGTTTATTACTTCTTGAGTCACTTTCTTTATTGTGGTAATATGAGCCAATTATGTGTTGCGACCAATAAGTATATTTTGACAGTGTGCTCGTATTACATAATCAGTACCTACGTCGTATGGTGACGGTATACATTTATCGATATCCTAGCTCCCGCGGGTCTTACAATACCCGACTAAGTAAGGCACTCGAGTAAATGATTACACATTTGGCAAAGACCGGATAAATAATGCTTTCCAATAAACTTGGCGCTTACACGTAAAACAAATCTTTTTCAATTATACAACCCCAATAGTAGCTGTTAATAGCATTCAGAGTACGGAATATAAAGCCAAACTTAATACCGTTTCATTATCATCATCATCATCAACAGCCTATAAACGCCCACTGCTGACCAAAGGTCTCTTTTCACAGGGAGAAGGTTTCAGCATTAATCACCACGCTTGCTCAATGCAGGTCGGTCAATTTTAACTTATAATTAGAAATTATAAGCCCAGGTTTCCTCACGATGTTTGCCTTCACCTTTTGTCAGTGGTGTATAAATAATCGTAGAAAGTACATATAACTCGGAAAAATTTACATTGGTACTTAAGTACCGTTGGTAGGTTTCGAACCCGCACCCTCATGCATGAGAAGAGGGTGTCTTTAACCTCCGGGCCACCACGACATAACGTTTAATTCATTCAATATCCACGCAATATTTACTCATGTCCCTGGGACGCGCCGGACTTCAATGTTCCGATGTTTTCATGGTTGTATCTACTGTAGATCCTGGCTTACAGGAGTTGCAGCGGTTTTGGGAGGTTGTGGCGGGCTTGTCCCATATAAAAAAAAAAACCACGCAATATGCAATGGCCGAATTGGGCGCTAGTGTTATAACTCCACAATATCAATATCGGAACAGTCGGAATTGAATTCAATTGTAAGCCCCCTAGAATCTTATATACTTCCCGCTGGTATCGTTAGTTGATAAAGGGATATCTGATAGAGATGGGACAGCAGCAGTCTCTGATAAAGCTAAACCTTTTAAACTGTTGTCTCCAAGCCGATTGCTAAGCTAAAAAGGTATGGTTTTTTTAAACGAGGAAAAATTAATATATCGTCGAAAGTATTTAATTTTGTGAGAAGAGAAAAATTACTTGTCTAAAGTTTAAAATTAATGTACCAGACGGACATTAAAATAAAATTTAGTAAACTACCCTATTGTGTGATTTTGGCAACCTTTCTTTAAAGAGACCTTTGTTCATCAGAGGATGTATAACGGGTGATGATGACGATTACTATGAAAATAATAATCAGAAGCACTTTAATCGATGACCTAATAATGATAATCGGTGACCTAATACTGATAATCGATGCCCTAATAGCCCAATACCTATTATTGCATGAAAAGATTGATAAATGTAGATGAAACGAAAGTATGTCAGAATCATGTCTCTGCTTACCCCACTGGGAGACAGGCGATGATTGTGTGTGTGTAATATTTAAAACTTACCCATTTGTATGATGTATCATGTCACATAAAGTGAACAATATGTCGACTTCTAAGGGCGTGATCTGGGACATCATCTGAGCTGAATGTAAGAACTCTTCTTTCGTGACTTCCTGCGTTCGAGTGCCGTTGGTTGCATTAAGGTAGACCCTTTTGATCAGCTCCATGTTGTTTAGAAGAGAATTAAAGGCCATGTAGTAGGGAAAACTGATTTTGCGTTCACCGTGTGGGAAGCCCGAAGCCTGGAATATCAAGGGCACAATTTAGTGGCATAATGACATCTGTTATGTAGCTCATGACCTTAGTTGGATTTGGGAGCCTATTGAGGTTTTAATTGTAATTTAAAAAATTATGATGACTTCATTATAAATTACAAAAAAATTTACTATTGCAATATAAGTGACGTTAACACAGATATTTGTTGTATGCGTCACTTTGAAAGGAACAAGGAAAAGGTGGGTTAATTTCATAATTGTATGGGAATATTTCTACTTATGCCAATTCTCGTAGAGAAGACTTGAGAAGAGCATTTATGATGCATTTGGACGCAATACAAAGCTATTGAGCTGTTTTACGGTCGAAATTAATGATCAATCTCAATCCGAAGTATCTGAATAAACCTCGGATTATGCCAGAAATTTAATAGACGTAATGTTAAAAGACAAATACTAGTGACGGTTTTCAACAACATCTACTAAATTTTAACGAACCCCTAAGCTAAGGTAGGCATTAAACGACATTTTGATTTTTACTAATCTATAAGTAACATCTTACAGTACGCCGCCCATGGAGGAGTCACCGTTGCGTTGCCGGGACTGACTACCTAGACTAAGTATAATATGATGATGATGATAATGATAATTAGAAAAAACATAACTTCAAAATAATACTCACATTAATAACTTTAGAATTCAACTCCTTAGTTAGGAGATGTTTCTTAACAGACAGCATAATGTCTCTAAAGTCCCCAGCGCTGATGAAGCCTGTACCATCTTTGTCACATTTCTTGAAGGCTTCAACTCCATATTCCTCGTGGAAGTCGTGAAGAAACTGGCTGAACTCAGGGTATGTTACCAACCTCTTCTTGTCCTTGCCGAAGTACAAACGGACGAATGTGCTCTCCATGTTAAATGGGAGTTTCTGATGGAGGGCCGTTTTGCGCATGACTTCTGCAAACTCGTCTGGAAATGGTGGTTGAGTATGGTTTTAACATAACATCACGCCTTTTTATCCTCGAATGCACATTACGGCACTTAATGCCACTATACAATGTAGCACCCACTTTTCACTATTTATGTTATGAGTCCCATGTAATAAGGGGTGAGCCTATTGCCATATATCGGGCACAATTCCAGACTCCGTGCTACTACTGAGATTTTTAAAATCCCAGTAATACTTTGCCCGTCCCCGGGAATCAAACCCGAGACCCCTTGCCCGGCAGTCGCACTTGCGACCACTCGGCCAACGATTATGGTTTTGTCGGACAAAATTAAGATCTATATAATATGAAAATAACGACGGACGACGGACGACGGAAAGGTCTACTACCACTTGTATAGTTTTATGTTGATACTACTTGTAAATCGTAATCATAGTCGCGTCTTGTGACATTTAACCTGATGAAACTTAATGGGACCAACATATAAAACCCTCATTGAACCTTGAATTGGGTCCACCCAGGGACTTTTACTTGAGTCATAAAAGCATTTACAAAAATTCAAATCACATTCAAACTCAGAACAATAATTTATGGATCACATAAAGGAGGTTTTGATTCGGGAATCGTAACAGCGATGCATTACACAGTAGTCGGTTTCTTTCGGGTTCTAGCCACCTCGTCAAACATACAGCTAAATCTAATTCGGATTTTAATAAATGAATATAAGTAAGTGCTGAATTGACTATCTTACCAAAAGCGACGAGTCCATTGCCATTAGTATCGAACAGTTGGAAGGCGGTCTTGTACAGCGCATCGGGTACGCAGAGCAGGCCCTCAAACGCCTGGAACTCCGAGAATGAGATGTACCCATCTTTGTCCATGTCCACGATGCCCGCGATGAGCTTGACTGATTCCGCATTGTAGTCATCTGGAAGACACATCGATTGGTTTTAATTTAATTATATTACTTATCTAGTTATTTTAACGAAAAGATGGTTTCTAGTTTTCGGTACCTATCTAAAAATCGGTGGTGGTTTAATCCAAAACAATTATTGCTTTTGGGACAATTATACTATGAACCTATGTCCCTTAACTATGTACCTATACTCTACTTAACCGCACATAAACTGCGTAGGTATGTGCCAACTAGTTAAATCCAATACTTTTTTCGAACTGTCAAAAACGACAATTTCTATGAATTTTGTACTGGATTGCGTATTGTGACGCCGCATTTATTAGTGTTAAACAGCATTATTATTTCTTAAAAATTTGATGGAAAAATACTAAAATTATTTTTTCATATTTTATTGCTTAGTACCTACCTATAGTCAAAATAATTTATTTTTGATTAAAGTACCCAATTATTTTGTTCGACTCTGGGTTTTTGTTCCATATAGACTTTTACCGCCACATAGATACCACATAGACCTTTACCGACTGGGTTTTACGTTTAAAACTAAAATGGTTGGTTGGTTGGTAAATTAACAATTTATTAAGCTATCGCTTTGCTTTTCCAAGAATAAACCAACTTAAATGAACGTACTAAATGAATGAATAATAAAGGAGTAATTTCTTGCTATAGCGAATTCATGCTTGGAGTGGGCATACTTCCCGAAGCAATGGAAATCTGCGCATGTTATAATTCTTCGGAAACCAGGCAAAGAAGACTATACCCATCCAAAGTCCTACAGACCAATTGGACTTCTGTCTGTTTTTGGGAAAATAGTCGAGAAATTGATGATAGGCAGAATCCAATGGCACATCCTTCCAACTCTTCACAAGAACCAGTATGGATTCCTACCTCAACGTGGAACGGAGGACGCACTCTATGATCTGGTTGACCGCATAAAAACTGAAATGAACGAAAAAAAGACCGTCGTCCTGGTGTCGCTGGACATAGAGGGTGCCTTTGACAATGCCTGGTGGCCAGCCCTGAAACATCAGCTCATAGCCAGAAAGTGTCCGAGAAACCTGTACGCTATGGTGAACTCCTACCTCAACGAACGGAAAGTGAAAGTAAATTTTGCCGGAGCTAGCAGCGAAAAGAGGACTAATAAGGGTTGCGTTCAAGGGTCCGTAGGTGGACCTACTTTTTGGAACCTTGTCCTCGATCCGTTGCTACACAGACTCACAGGAGAGGGAGTTTACTGCCAGGCTTTTGCGGACGACGTGGTTCTCTTGTTCTCGAACTATAAAGTGAGTGCATTGGAGCAATCGGTAAATGGTGCCTTGGAACTAGTAGCAGCCTGGGGGGTCAGCAACAAGCTCAGATTCGGGGCAAGTAAAACGAACGCTATGCTGCTGACAAGAAGGCATGTTTTTGAGCCCCCAGACCTGTTTATGGCAGGCACCAGAATAAATCTCGTAGAAGAGGTAAAGCTCTTAGGCCTCACGATAGACAGAAAACTCACCTTCAGGTCACATATATCTGCCATATGCAAGAAAGCTGCAGACATTTACAAACAGCTAGCACGCGCAGCCAAGGTGACGTGGGGTCTCAACGGGGAAATAACGAGAACAATATACGTCGCGGTCATTGAGCCGATTGTACTTTACGCCGCAAACGTGTGGGCCCCAGTGACGGAGCTACAGGTGATCAAAAAACAGTTAAATGCTCTTCAAAGGGGATTCACACAAAAAATCTGTAGAGCTTATCGTACAGTGTCGCTCACGTCAGCAACAATCTTGTCCGGAACTCTCCCACTCGATCTGAGAGTCCAGGAATTTGCTAGTTTGTATCGAATTAAAAGAGGATTCTCTCTGGACTACTTACCACCTCAAAAGGAGCTTGAAAAGCGGGTCCATTACCTGGACCAGCCACATCCCTCAAAATTAATGTCTATCAACTATGAGCTCCTGGAGAACGATGACTCTGGATCTCCTCTCGTCCAAAATATTGCTGGCCCTCAATTATACACAGATGGCAGCAGAATTAACGGAGGCGTTGGTTCTGCCTTGACTTGGTGGGAGGGCGGTCGTGAGTCCATGTTTTCCACTTTTAGTTTAGACCCTTCCTGCACGGTTTTCCAATCTGAACTATACGCTTTGAACAGAGCGGCTAAAATGGTTCTCGACAATGGAGCGACTAGAGTAAACATATTTAGTGACTCTAGGTCCTCCCTCGATGTTTTGAAGAATCCCAGGATTACCCACTGTTTGGCCAAGGAGATAAAGCAGTGTTTGGAGACCATAACGGAACAGGGAAGAGAGATTCGATTCTACTGGCTGAGGGCCCATGTTGGAACGGCTGGAAATGAGAGGGCAGACGAATTAGCTAAAACCGCTGCCAAACAGAAAAATAACACCACGGCAGACTACTGTAGAATACCCATGTCCTATGTCAAAAAGAAAATTAGGGACGAAACTATCCGTAAGTGGCAGGACAGGTATACCACCTCAACTACTGGGCAGGTGACTAAAACGTTTCTCCCAGATGTCCATGAGGCATATCGAATAGTGAGATCAACAAAGTTGACACCTGCCCAAGTTCAGGCGCTGACTGGACATGGAGGGATCGCTGAATATCTGCATCGATTTAAACTAAAAGAAAGTGCAGGTTGCGAATGCGATTCAACTATCAGTGAGTCTGTATGGCACATTATTCTAGAGTGTCCTCGTTTTCTAGCCGCAAGAACCAACTTAGAAAATGTAATAGATGCAAATCTGGATTCCTCAAATCTGAGTGCCATTCTGGCTGATAAAACCAAAAGACCGCATTTTCTGAGCTACATTGAAACCATCTTCAACAGGGCGGCTGAAAGAAACAGCACATTAAATAATACAAATCGAATAGCCAACTTGGAGAATCAACCAAATACTTCCATGGCAGTATCCGAGATCGCCCGTACCACTGAACCGCTCACCATCAATGAGAGGCAAATACTCTTGCATGGAGAATGCGGCTCCAAAGGAATACGGCTACGAAGTGTAGCTCTGTTCATGAACACCAGCAGCGAAAGGCTAGGGATAGCCTTCTGCGAAAGCAAGAACAGCAAATGGCTTACTATTTCACCCGGCTTAGCCTCCCTAATGAATGGCAGCACATCCAAGACAAGTATGCGGCGCAAAACATACGATGCGCTGCCAGAAATGCAACTATTGGGTCGGAGCTGTCGACTACTGCGAACACGCAATAAAACAATTGCAATGTTCTCCAGCGTCGACTCAATGACTTGTTTTGAACAAGCTTGCGGTGTGCTGTCGGACATGGGTGGGCGGGGAGAGGTCGAGGGTATGATCCCAGAATAATTAGTGTGGACGCTGCCGTGGTAGCTTATGAGAAGGGGAGAACGGCAGACCTTATAGGATGCGTCAGGGCTTCAGAACATCATGAAGTCATCGTGTACGAGAACAGGGGTGAGGACTTGAGTTTCCTCAAAAAGCCAGTTCGATACGCGCTAGGGTGGATTCTCCAAGCGGCTCAGAGCGTCTACAACAAAGATATAGGCAACAAAGCGCTCTGCAACAACACCAACAAAACACCGAGAGGGAAAATAAAAAATTAGAATCACGAGGTAGAGTGTGGGCAATAACAGCGGCCATATGCTCAGTAACCGGACTGATTTCGTCACCCTTCAGAAAAAATGTGGTTAAATCTGCTCAAGGATCAGGAGGCGCACAAATACAGTCTCCTCCCCCCCAGGTCATCACCAACAAGAGCAGCTATGGGTCACGTTTGTCCGCCGAGGCTTCGACAAGCGTCCACTACCAGAGACCATGTCGTAAATGCTTTTCTCGAGTTTACCGCAGTGGTGGAGGCAACCAGGCAGGTCAACATGCGGAAATGCGAATCCATTCTGCAGACTTACCTGCAAGGAAACGAGCTAATACTGAACGATAGACTCGAAGCAGCAGAAGCAGTCATATACGACAACAACACCTCGAGGGTACTGAGAGGAACCTCTATAACTCGAAGTATGGCTGCTTATAACGCAACTGCAGGATTTGTGTCTCTGGACGAGAGGGAATCCGATCGATGCGGAGTGTTAAAGTTTAAAACTCCTCCAGGGGATTCCCTAGTAGTGGTTGCCAAATGCACGAGAATTATGCTGGACGATAGAATATTAGAGATGGCAAGATCCATTTCTGATTCTGGATCAGACGGCGAAGTTTTTGGAGACTGGCATACTCCGACGTTTCGCTGGACAAATGGCGTCCCTGGTTGCGGAAAAACGACATGGATAGTAGATCAATTTGAAGCGGGCAAAGATCTAATTGTCACCACGACAACCGAAGCAGCAAATGACCTCAGAGGCAAACTATCCTGCCGAATCGGAGGACTCGTCAAATCTAGGGTTCGAACAATGGCGTCCATCCTAGTAAACGGCTTGGGGAGCGAGAGAGCTGCCATCGACTAATGGTAGATGAGGCTCTCATGAACCACTTTGGAGCCGTTGTGATGGCCGCCCGAATAACTCGAGCCAAGGAAGTCCTTCTAATTGGTGACATAAATCAGCTTCCGTTTATAGATCGTGATAACCTCTTCCCTCTACTCTACAGCCGCCCTACATATATCACGCCCATAAGCCAGGAATTGATGTGTACCCACAGAAATCCAATGGATGTGGCGTATGCCCTCAGCACAGTTTACAGTGGCATATACTCGTCCAGGTCGTTCGTGAGATCCCTCGAGATAAAAAGGTTCTCGGGGGCGATGATTCCAAAGTCACTCCCCGACACTTTATACCTGGTACACACTCAGGCAGAGAAGGAATCCCTTAAGAACCAGGGATACGGGTCGACCGTGGGATCACGCGTGCTCACGATACACGAGGCACAGGGACTTTCGTGTGCGAATGTGATTGTTGTCAACACAGCAACAAAGAAACATCAAATACATGACAGCGTACCACACGCGGTAGTAGCAATATCGCGTCACACGCATGGTTGCATCTATTACACAGACAACAGTGAAGACGCGATAAGCAA